TGCTTTAGCCCTGGGCTGCCCATCAGGGCGGAGGTGCTGGTTGACACTAGATGCTCAGAGTGCTGCCCTGGGAAGCACAGAGACTGCTTCCCGGTCCCAAGGGAAAGACTCTGGCCTGCTAAGGTCTGACCTGTCAAGAGGCTCTTGGCAAAGACCCTGAGATTCTCATGGGTCACCTCCCAGAAGGGCTACACATATCCCTTTCATGGGTCCAGGGAAAGGAGGTCCTCCAGGTGTTGGGGGACAGAGGGTAGCTGCTTCGGGGGCTCAGTTGCACTGAATCTGCAAGGTGGTGGGAGGGATCCTACCTGGGGCAGACCCTCAGCGGAGAACTGGCAGTCTGTTGGTGGCTCGTTGCATTCACAGCCGTGGAAACTCTCTGCCTTCCACCATTTACTAGCTTTCTCAAGTGTCAGCAAACCAAACAGCTGGATCTTGCCAATGTGGCTGTAGGAAAACAGCCTGTTGCGAGGCAAGAATATCACTGTCTTGAGGCAAAAGCACCATGATGAGCAGTGTTTGACTCCTGCATGCAAGGTGTTCTGCAGCAGGTCTTAGGACCATGCCTGTAGCGTAGGTAACCCTCATAAGGATGCTCATCCAACCTCCGCAGTGGTTATGAGTTTGGCAACAGAGTCTGAGATGTGGCCAGCTGCACCTGTCATTACCATAAAAGCTTGCTATATAAATGACATTTTCTGGAATGCTGGTGGGGGATCCACTGTCTCGTGGCCGCCTGAGACATTGCTTCTCTTCGAAAGTCCCTATTAAATTTTTCTCTCTGAGAAACTAGATTTGTTAATCTCTCTCTTCAGCCTCTCAGTTCCTTCAGCCTTTGGGGGTAGGTCTGCATGTACCTGCTCCCCGTGGAACATCTGGCAAGCAAGCCAGGAGCCGAGAGGCCAAGAAAGAGGTAAGGGGAATGGCGCATCTGTGGGGGAGTCCCAGGGTAGCCAGCCGCACCCATGTGGGGGGGTGGCACATCTGTTACATGCTTGTGGAGCTCTGCATGAGGATGAGGGTGTCCCCAAAATGCCAGCTGGGGGTGCACTGCAGTAAGGAAGGGCAATGGATAGCCACTGCAACGGGTTGGCCATTTTTGTTCATTTGGCAATGGAGACCCAGCTAGCAGCAGAGGCAAAAATTGAATGTCTGGAGGAGAAATTGCAACTAGAAGAGGACGTGTGCCTTTCCACATCTCCCCTTGCATCCAACTTAATGGACAAAATTGAAGATCAAGAGACAAAAATTGTCTTTTTGTGCTACCCAGAGAGGGATCCACATGGCGTTGTTCTGGATTCCTGTTATAAGTTAAGTGAAACTTTCACAATGTCCAGAGCCCTTGATGTCCTGCAAATGAAGGAGGACGATGTCCTCAAATTCCTTGCAGCAGGAACCCATGTAGGCGGCCCCCACCTTGACTTCCAAATGGAACAGAACATCTACAAAAGGAAAAGTGATGGCCTCTGCGTCGTAAATCTGAAGAGGACGGGGAGAAGCTTCTGCTGGCAGCTCGTGCCACTGTTGCCACTGAAGACCCTGCTGACGTCAGTGTCACACCCTCCAGGAATACGGGCCTGGAGCTGTGCTGACGTTTGCTGTTGCTGCTGGAGCCAGATCCAGGCAGCAGTCCAGGAGCCGCGTCTGCTGGCAGTTGCTGACCCCAGGGCTGGCCACCAGCCTCTCGCAGAGGCTTCCAATGTTGACCTATAGCCACAGCTCTGTGCAGCACAGTCTCCTCTGTGCTAGGTGGATGCCACCATCTCACACGGCGACAGGGGCTCCCCCAGCGGGTCTGACCCGGTGGGTGCTGGCCCGGGAAGTTCTGCGCATGGAGGCTTCATGTCCCTGAACCCCCGTGGAAGGTCCCGCCTGGTCTCTACTTCTGCGGAGGTCCTGAAGAGACTGAAAAGGGGGAGCAGGCTGCCACCGAAACAGCTGCGACCATGGAGGAGCGCAGGGTGAATGGACGGCCCCAGACCCGAGTTTACTGCTGCTCAGCCTCGGGTCGCACCCCGGGCTGAAGGGTGCGGGTGCCTCCGTGCCTGTCCCCAGGTCCCCACCCGGACGCGCGCAGCCTGCCGCGGATGCCTGGGCTGCGACTCCCTCTGCCCCGGCCCCAATGGCTACAAACAGCCACAGCCTGGCCCTAAGCTGTTCTTCCACAGGCTCTTAAGCAAGATGGAAATAAACATCAGTTTCCTAAAAAGAAAAAAAGGAAAGAAGAAAGACGAAAATGGAAACATTAGCACGTAGATGTGCTCACCTACAGGGAAGGAAATGGAAACAACCAAACATCGGGGCTGCCGTAATGGAGCCGGGTCGGAGTGTGGAAACCTGGGACCCCTGGGAACATTAAGAAGAAGACTCTGATGACCAGAAGCCACAGGGACACTGGCAGGCTCACCCCTCGCACAAAGGAAGGAGAAAGCTCAACAGCTGCAGCGAAATGGGGGTGGCCAATAGGGAGTGGGCATGGCAGGGCTCGTTGCTGCAGCCCTTGAGACAGCGACCCGGAGCCTCTGATGGCTTGGATGGTCCAACGGGGACACGGGCACGATGGTATTTCCTTAGCCAGGAATGACGCAGAAAAAACGAGCAACAACACCACCCACCTAGCCCTGCGGCAGCGCCTGCCTAACTCGAGGCAACGCAAGCCTTATGGGTGGATCATTCTGGCCGGAGAGGCTTGGCCTACAGAAGACTGCCCAGGAGGTGTGACCTCCTGCCCTAAATCTGAGAGGCCCGGGGGCTTCTCCGAGAGTTAGGGATGCGGCAAGTCATCTATGCTCACGGGACCCACTAAAACTATTGTTACCATCAGGATGAAAAATGATTGTCTAAGGTGCACCAAGAGGAGGGCACGGCCCTTTGCTGTCTTTGTTGAGTCCTATAGTGGGATAAGATGCACATGATGTGGGAGAAGTCATCGCAGATTTGGCAGAAACTGAGAAAGCCAGCGACAAGGTATGCTTGGTAGCCCATAGCCCAACAAAGGCTAACCAAGCGGAAAAAGAAAACTCCACAGAAAAAGAAGAGGAGGAAAAGCGAAAGGGATGGCTAAGAGTCACACACAGGCAAATGGGGCATGAAGCACTGGGAGCAGGAGCTCCCTGAGGAAGACA